TGAAAATCGGGCAAAAATTGGATTTTTTTCGCATTTTTTCCCATTTTCCCTCCAATTTTCATTGAATTTTTTCCCAATTTTCCCCAATTTTCCCCAATTTTCCCCCAATTTTTCCCCAATTTTTCTCAATTTTTCCCAATTTTTCCCCAATTTTCCCCCAATTTTTTCCCAATTTTTCCCCATTTTTTGCATATTTTTTCCCCGATTTTTCCCCAATTTCCCCCCAATTTTTCCCCAATTTTTCCCCAATTTTCCCCCAATTTTCCCCCAATTTTTTCCCCAATTTTCCCCAATTTTTTTCCAATTTTTTCCCATTTTCCCTCCAATTTTCATTGAATTTTTTCCCAATTTTCCCCAATTTTCCCCAATTTTTCCCCAATTTTCCACCAATATTTCCCTGAATTTTCCCCCAATTTTCCCCCAATTTTTCCCCAATTTTTCCCCAATATCTCCCCAATTTTCCCCCATTTTCCCTTGATTTTCCCCCAATTTTCACCCAAATTTTCCCCAATTTTTCCTTAAATTTCCCCCAATTTTTCCCATTTTTATTCCAATTTTTTCCCAATTTTTTCCCCAATTTTTCCCCAATTTTCCCCAATTTTTCCCCAATTTTCCCCCAATATTTCCCTGAATTTTCCCCCAATTTTCCCCCAATTTTCCCCAATTTTATCCCAATTTTTCCCCAATTTTTCCCCACCTTTCCCCCTTTCCCAACCCTTCCTGATCCGGTTTTTCCGGAATTTTCTCCTGGCAGAGCCCAATTCCCATTACGTCATCTCCCTGAAGGCTTTCAACAACGCCGGCGAGGGGATCCCGCTCTACGAGAGCGCCACCACCCGGGCAGCAGGTGGGAATGGGAGGGGAAAATTGGGGAAAAATGGGGGAAATTGGGAAAAAAGTGGGGGAAAATTGGGAAAAAATTGGGGGAAAATTGGGGAAAAATTGGGGGAAAATTGGGGAAAATTTGGGATAAATATGGGGAAAATTGGGGAAAAATTGGGGGAAAATTGGGGGAAATTGGGGGAAAATTGGGGGGAAATTGGGAAAAAATTGGGGGAAAATTGGGAAAAAATTGGGTGAAAAATGGGGAAAAACGGGGGAAATTTAAGGAAAAATTGGGGAAAAATTGGGGGAAAATTGGGGAAAAATTGGGGAAAATTGGGAAAAATTCACGAAAAAATTCACGAAAAAAATCAGGAAAATTGGGTAAAATTGGGAAAAAATTGGAGAAAAATTGGGGAAAAAAATCAGGAAAATTGGGGAAAAATTGGGGGAAAATTGGGGGAAAATTGGAGGAAAATTGGGAGAAAATTGGGGGAAATTGGGGGAAAATTGGGGGAAAATTGGGGAAAAATGGGGGAAAATTGGGGGAAAATTGGGGGAAAATTGGGGGAAAATTGGGGAAAAATTGGGGAAAAATTGGGGAAAATTGGGGGAAAATTGGGGAAAAATTGGGGAAAAATTGGGGGAAAATTGGGGAAAATTGGGGGAAAAATTCAATGAAAATTGGAGGGAAAATGGGAAAAAATTGGAAAAAAATTGGGGAAAATTGGGGAAAAAATTGGGGGAAAATTGGGGGAAAATTGGGGAAAATTGGGGAAAATTGGGAAAAAATTCAATGAAAATTGGAGGGAAAATGGGAAAAAATTGGAAAAAAATTGGGGAAAATGATGGGGAAAAAATTGGGGAAAAATTGGGAAAAAATTGGAAAAAATTGTGGGAAAATTGGAGGAAAAAATTGGGGAAAAATTGGGAAAAAATTGGAAAAAATTGTGGGAAAATTGGAGAAAAAATTGGGGAAAAATTGGTGGAAATTGGGGGAAAATTGGGGAAAAATTGGGGGAAAATTGGTAAAAAAATTGGGAGAAATTGGGGCAAATTGGGGAAAAAGTAGAAAAAAAATAAGGGAAATTTGGGGAAAAATTGTTGGAAATTGGGGGAAATATTAGGAAAAATTGGGAAAAAATTGGGGAAAATTGGAATAAATTTGGGGAAAATTGGGAAAAAATTGGGGAAAAATGGGAAAAAATGAGAAAAAATGAGAAAAAAATCAGAAAAAATCAGAAAAAAATGGGAAAAAATGGGAAAAAAATCAGAAAAAAATGGGGAAAAAAATCAGAAAAAAATAGGAAAAAAACCCAGGAGAAATTTGGATTATTTTTGTCTGGAAAAAACATCATGACTCACCCAAATTTTGGATGGAATAGAAGCGTTGCCTGCTGTCCACCCTGACCGTGTCGGCGTAGGGGCTCCCGACTCCGTAACCGATGAGGAAGCCCCGGATGAGAACGTTGGGATTGAGAGGTGGAGTCCAACTCATCACGATTCCAGTGGCCAGAGGACGGACGTGGAGGGAGCTGGGTTGGTCAGGAACTTGGGATTCTGGAATTTTGGGAGGAAAAAATGGGAGAAATGAAAAAAAAAATGGTGAAAATCGGGCAAAAATTGGATTTTTTTCGCATTTTTTTCTGATTTTTCCTCATTTTTCGCTTTATTTTTTCCAAATTTTTCCCCAAATTTCCCCCATTTTTTCCAAATTTTTCCCCCATTTTTTCCTAATTTTTTCCTCCATTTTTTACAATTTTTTTCCAAATTTTTTCCCATTTTTTTCCAAATTTTTTCCCAATTTTTTCCCCATTTTTTTCTGATTTTTTCCTAATTTTTTCCCCAATTTTTTCCCAAATTTAATCCAGATTTTTCCCAAATTTTATCTCATTTTTTCCCCATTTTTTCCTGATTTTTTCCCCATTTTTTTCTCATTTTTTCCCAAATTTCCCCCATTTTATCCTAATTTTTCCCCCATTTTTTCCAATTTTTTCCTCCATTTTTTCCCAATTTTTTCCACCATTTTTTCCAAATTTTTTCCCAATTTTTTCCAAATTTTTTCCAAATTTTTTCCCAATTTTTTTCCCATTTTTCCCCAAATTTCCCCCATTTTTTCCTAATTTTTCCCCCATTTTTTCCTAATTTTTCCCTCCATTTTTTTCAAATTTTTTCCCAATTTTTTCCAAATTTTTCCAAATTTTTTCAAGATTTTTTCCTAATTTTTTCCCAATTTTTTTCCCATTTTTCCTCAAATTTCCCCCATTTTTTCCTAATTTTTCCCCCATTTTTTCCTAATTTTTCTACCATTTTTTCCAATTTTTTCCTCCATTTTTTCCAAATTTTTTCCCAATTTTTTCCCAATTTTCCACCAGATTTTTCCCAAATTTTATCTCATTTTTTCCCCATTTTTTCCTCATTTTTTTCCCCATTTTTATCCCATTTTTGCCCAAATTTCCCCATTTTTTCCTGATTTTTCCACCATTTTTCATTTATTTTTCCCCATTTTTTCCTCCATTTTTTCCAAATTTTTTCCTCATTTTTCCACCATTTTTTCCCCATTTTTCCACCAATTTTCCAAATTTTTTCCTGATTTTTTCCCCCATTTTTTCCTAATTTCACCCCTCGAATGTGGAGGGAGCTGGGTTGGTCAGGAACTTGGGATTCTGGAATTTTGGGAGGAAAAAATGGGAGAAATGAAAAAAAAAATGGTGAAAATCGGGCAAAAATTGGATTTTTTTCGCATTTTTTTCTGATTTTTCCCCCATTTTTCTCTTTATTTTTTCCCAATTTTTCCCAATTTTTTTCCCATTTTTTCCTAATTTTTCCCCCATTTTTCCTAATTTTTCCCCCATTCTTTCCTAATTTTTCCCCCATTTTTTCCTAATTTTTCTACCATTTTTTCCAATTTTTTCCTCCATTTTTTCCAAATTTTTCCCAATTTTTCCCCAATTTTTTCCAAATTTTTCCCCAAATTTCCCCCATTTTTTTCTAATTTTTCCCCCATTTTTTCCTAATTTTTCCCCCATTTTTTCCTAATTTTTCTACCATTTTTTCCAATTTTTTCCTCCATTTTTTCCAAATTTTTTCCCAATTTTTTCCCAATTTTTTCCCAATTTTTTTCCCACTTTTGCCCAAATTTCCCCCATTTTTTCCTAATTTTTCTACCATTTTTTCCAATTTTTTCCCCATTTTTTCCAACTTTTTCCCAATTTTTTTTAAATTTTTTCCCAATTTTTTCCAAATTTTTTTCCCATTTTTCCCCAAATTTCCCCCATTTTTTCCTAATTTTTCCCCCATTTTTTCCTAATTTTTCCCCCATTTTTTCCAATTTTTTCCCAATTTTTTCCCAATTTTTTCCCAATTTTTTCCCAATTTTTCCCCATTTTTTTCCCATTTTTTACCCCAATCATCCCCATTTTTTCCTGATTTTTTTCCCCATTTTTCCCCTCATTTTTCCCAATTTTTAAACAGATTTTCCACAAATTTTCTCCCATTTTCCCAAATTTTTCCCCCATTTTTTCCCCCATTTTTTCCCCATTTTTCCACTAATTTTCCAAATTTTTTCCTGATTTTTTTCCCCCATTTTTTCCTAATTTCTCCCTCGAATGTGGAGGGAGCTGGGCTGCTCAGGAACTTGGGATTCTGGAATTTTGGGAGGAAAAAATGGGAGAAATGAAAAAAAAAATGGTGAAAATCGGGCAAAAATTGGATTTTTTTCGCATTTTTTTCTGATTTTTCCCCCATTTTTCGCTTTATTTTTTCCTAATTTTTCCCAAATTTTTTCCCATTTTTCCTCAAATTTCCCCCATTTTTTCCTAATTTTTCCCCCATTTTTTTCTAATTTTTCTCCCATTATTTCCAATTTTTTCCTCCATTTTTTCCAAATTTTTTCCCAATTTTTTCCCAATTTTCCACCAGATTTTTCCCAAATTTTATCTCATTTTTTCCCCATTTTTTCCTCATTTTTTTCCCCATTTTTATCCCATTTTTGCCCAAATTTCCCCATTTTTTCCTGATTTTTCCACCATTTTTCATTTATTTTTCCCCATTTTTTCCTCCATTTTTTCCAAATTTTTTCCTCATTTTTCCACCATTTTTTCCCCATTTTTCCACCAATTTTCCAAATTTTTTCCTGATTTTTTCCCCCATTTTTTCCTAATTTCACCCCTCGAATGTGGAGGGAGCTGGGTTGGTCAGGAACTTGGGATTCTGGAATTTTGGGAGGAAAAAATGGGAGAAATGAAAAAAAAAATGGTGAAAATCGGGCAAAAATTGGATTTTTTTCGCATTTTTTTCTGATTTTTCCCCCATTTTTCGCTTTATTTTTTCCTAATTTTTCCCAAATTTTTTCCCATTTTTTCCTCATTTTTCCCCCATTTTTTTCTAATTTTTCCCCCATTTTTTCCTAATTTTTCTACCATTTTTTCCAATTTTTTCCTCCATTTTTTCCAAATTTTTTCCCAATTTTTTCCCAATTTTCAACCAGATTTTTCCCAAATTTTATCTCATTTTTTTCCATTTTTTCCTTATTTTTCCACAAAATTTTCCTTTATCTTTCCTCCATTTTTCCCCCATTTTTTCCCCATTTTTCCACCAATTTCCCAAATTTTTCCCTGATTTTTTCCCCCATTTTTTCCTAATTTCACCCCTCGAATGTGGAGGGAGCTGGGTTGGTCAGGAACTTGGGATTCTGGAATTTTGGGAGGAAAAAATGGGAGAAATGAAAAAAAAAATGGTGAAAATCGGGCAAAAATTGGATTTTTTTCGCATTTTTTTCTGATTTTTCCTCATTTTTCGCTTTATTTTTTCCAAATTTTTCCCCAAATTTCCCCCATTTTTTCCAAATTTTTCCCCCATTTTTTCCTAATTTTTTCCTCCATTTTTTACAATTTTTTTCCAAATTTTTTCCCATTTTTTTCCAAATTTTTTCCCAATTTTTTCCCCATTTTTTTCTGATTTTTTCCTAATTTTTTCCCCAATTTTTTCCCAAATTTAATCCAGATTTTTCCCAAATTTTATCTCATTTTTTCCCCATTTTTTCCTGATTTTTTCCCCATTTTTTTCTCATTTTTTCCCAAATTTCCCCCATTTTATCCTAATTTTTCCCCCATTTTTTCCAATTTTTTCCTCCATTTTTTCCCAATTTTTTCCCAATTTTTTCCAAATTTTTTCCCAATTTTTTTTCCATTTTTCCCCAAATTTCCCCCATTTTTTCCTAATTTTTCCCCCATTTTTTCCTAATTTTTCCCCCATTTTTTCCAATTTTTTCCTCCTTTTTTTCTTCATTTTTCCCAATTTTTTCCCAATTTTCAACCAGATTTTTCCCAAATTTTATCTCACTTTTTCCCCATTTATCCCTGATTTTTTCCTCAATTTTTTGCCATTTTTCCCCAAATTTCCCCCATTTTTTTCCCAATTTTCCTCAATTTTTCCCCATTTTATCCTAATTTTTCCCCCATTTTTTCCTAATTTTTCTACCATTTTTTCCAATTTTTTTCCCAATTTTTTCCAAATTTTTTCCTCATTTTCCCCCCATTTTTTTCCCATTTTTTACCCCAATCATCCCCATTTTTTCCTGATTTTTTCCCCATTTTTCCCCTCATTTTTCCCAATTTTTAAACAGATTTTCCACAAATTTTCTCCCATTTTCCCAAATTTTTCCCCCATTTTTTCCCCCATTTTTTCCCCATTTTTCCACTAATTTTCCAAATTTTTTCCTGATTTTTTTCCCCCATTTTTTCCTAATTTCTCCCTCGAATGTGGAGGGAGCTGGGCTGCTCAGGAACTTGGGATTCTGGAATTTTGGGAGGAAAAAATGGGAGAAATGAAAAAAAAAATGGTGAAAATCGGGCAAAAATTGGATTTTTTTCGCATTTTTTTCTGATTTTTCCCCCATTTTTCTCTTTATTTTTTCCTAATTTTTCCCAATTTTTTTCCCATTTTTCCCCAAATTTCCCCCATTTTTTTCTAATTTTTCCCCCATTTTTTTCTAATTTTTCTCCCATTTTTTCCTAATTTTTCTACCATTTTTTCCAATTTTTTCCTCCATTTTTTCCAAATTTTTTCCCAATTTTTTCCCCAATTTTTTCCAAATTTTTTCCCATTTTTTTACCCCAATCATCCCCATTTTTTCCTGATTTTTTCCCGATTTTTCTCTTATTTTTCCCCAAATTTCCCCCATTTTTTCCTAATTTTTCCCTATTTTTTACCCCATTTTTCCCAAATTTTTTTCCTCATTTTTCCCAATTTTTTCCCAATTTTTTCCAAATTTTTCCCAAATTTTATCTCATTTTTTCCCCTTTTTTTCCTGATTTTTTTCCTCTTTTTTTTCCCATTTTTTCCTAATTTTTCCACCATTTTTCCCCAAATTTCCCCATTTTTTCCTAATTTTTCCCCCATTTTTTCCTAATTTTTCCTCCATTTTTTCCCAATTTTTTCCCAATTTTTTCCCAATTTTTTCCCAATTTTTTCCCAATTTTTCCCCATTTTTTTCCCATTTTTTACCCCAATCATCCCCATTTTTTCCTGATTTTTTTCCCCATTTTTCCCCTCATTTTTCCCAATTTTTAAACAGATTTTCCACAAAATTTCTCCCATTTTCCCAAATTTTTCCCCCATTTTTTCCCCTATTTTTTCCCCATTTTTCCACCAATTTTCCAAATTTTTCCCTGATTTTTTTTCCCCATTTTTTCCTAATTTCACCCCTCGAATGTGGAGGGAGCTGGGTTGGTCAGGAACTTGGGATTCTGGAATTTTGGGAGGAAAAAATGGGAGAAATGAAAAAAAAAATGGTGAAAATCGGGCAAAAATTGGATTTTTTTCGCATTTTTTCCCCATTTTTTCCTAATTTTTCTCTATTTTTTACCCCATTTTTCCCAAATTTTTTTCCTATTTTTTCCCAATTTTTTCCAAATTTTTCCCAAATTTTATCTTTTTTTCCCCATTTTTTCCTGATTTTTTTCCTCTTTTTTTTCCCATTTTTTCCTAATTTTTCCACCATTTTTTCCTAATTTTTCCCCCATTTTTTCCTAATTTTTCTCCATTTTTCCTTTATTTTTCTACCATTTTTTCCCAATTTTTTCCAAATTTTTTCCCAATTTTTCCCCATTTTTTTCCCATTTTTTACCCCAATCATCCCCATTTTTTCCTGATTTTTTCCCCCATTTTTCCCCTCATTTTTCCCAATTTTTAAACAGGTTTTCCACAAAATTTCTCCCATTTTCCCCCATTTTTCCCCCCATTTTTTCCCCATTTTTCCACCAATTTCCCAAATTTTTTCCTGATTTTTTCCCCCATTTTTTCCTAATTTCACCCCTCGAATGTGGAGGGAGCTGGGCTGCTCAAGAACTTGGGATTCTGGAATTTTGGGAGGAAAAAATGGGAGAAATGAAAAAAAAAATGGTGAAAATCGGGCAAAAATTGGATTTTTTTCGCATTTTTTCCTGATTTTTTCCCGATTTTTCTCTTATTTTTCCCCAAATTTCCTCAATTTTTTTCTAATTTTTCCCCATTTTTTCCTAACTTTTCTACCATTTTTTCCAATTTTTTCCTCCATTTTTTCCCAATTTTTTCTAAATTTTTTCCCAATTTTTTCCAAATTTTTTTCCCATTTTTCCCCAAATTTCCCCCATTTTTTCCTAATTTTTCCCCCATTTTTTCCTAATTTTTCTCCATTTTTCCTTTATTTTTCTACCATTTTTTCCCAATTTTTTCCAAATTTTTTCCCAATTTTTCCCCATTTTTTTCCCATTTTTTACCCCAATCATCCCCATTTTTTCCTGATTTTTTCCCCCATTTTTCCCCTCATTTTTCCCAATTTTTAAACAGGTTTTCCACAAAATTTCTCCCATTTTCCCCCATTTTTCCCCCCATTTTTTCCCCATTTTTCCACCAATTTCCCAAATTTTTTCCTGATTTTTTCCCCCATTTTTTCCTAATTTCACCCCTCGAATGTGGAGGGAGCTGGGCTGCTCAAGAACTTGGGATTCTGGAATTTTGGGAGGAAAAAATGGGAGAAATGAAAAAAAAAATGGTGAAAATCGGGCAAAAATTGGATTTTTTTCGCATTTTTTTCTGATTTTTTCCCCATTTTTCTCTTTATTTTTTCCTAATTTTTCCCAATTTTTTTCCCATTTTTCCCTAATTTTTCCCCCATTTTTCCTAATTTTTTCCCCATTTTTTCCTAATTTTTCCCTATTTTTTACCCCATTTTTCCCAAATTTTCTTCCTCATTTTTCCCAATTTTTTCCCAATTTTTTCCAAATTTTTCCCAAATTTTATCTAATTTTTTCCCAATTTTTTCCTGATTTTTTTCCTCTTTTTTTCCCCATTTTTTCCTAATTTTTCCACCATTTTTCCCCAAATTTCCCCCATTTTTTCCTAATTTTTCCCCATTTTTTCCTAATTTTTCTACCATTTTTTCCAATTTTTTCCTCCATTTTTTCCAAATTTTTTCCCAATTTTTTCCAAATTTTTTCCAAATTTTTTCCCAATTTTTTTCCCATTTTTCCCCAAATTTCCCCCATTTTTTTCTAATTTTTCCCCCATTTTTACCTAATTTTTCTACCATTTTTTCCAATTTTTTCCTCCATTTTTTCTAAATTTTTTCCCAATTTTTTCCCATTTTTTCCAAATTTTTCCCCCATTTTTCCCAATTTTTCCCCCATTTTTTCCTAATTTTTCTACCATTTTTTCCAATTTTTTCCTCCATTTTTCCCCAAATTTTTCCCAATTTTTTCCAAATTTTTTCCAAATTTTTTCCCAATTTTTTTCCCATTTTTCCCCAAATTTCCCCCATTTTTTCCTAATTTTTCCCCATTTTTTCCTAATTTTTCTACCATTTTTTCCAATTTTTTCCTCCATTTTTCCCCAAATTTTTCCCAATTTTTTCCAAATTTTTTCCCAATTTTTTCCAGATTTTTTCCTGATTTTTTGTAATTTTTTCCCCAATTTTTTCCCATTTTATCCGGATTTTTTCCCAAATTTTCTCCAGATTTTTCCCAATTTTTCCCCATTTTAATTCAGATTTTTCCCAAACTTTATCTCATTTTTTCCCCATTTTTTCCTGATTATCCTCTCCATTTTTTCCCATTTTTCCCCAAATTTCCCCCATTTTTTCCTAATTTTTCTCCCATTTTTTCCTCATTTTCCCCCCATTTTTTTCCCATTTTTTACCCCAATCATCCCCATTTTTTCATGATTTTTCCCCCATTTTTCTCTTATTTTTTCCCAATTTTTCCCCATTTTAATCCAGATTTTTCCCCCAAATTTTCTCCAGATTTTTCCCAATTTTTCCCCAAATTTCCCCCATTTTTCCCTATTTTTTACCCCATTTTTCCCAAATTTTTTCCTCATTTTTCTCAATTTTTTCCCAATTTTCAACCAGATTTTTCCCAAATTTTATCTCATTTTTTCCCCATTTTTTCCTGATTTTTTCCTGTTTTTTTCCGTTTTTCCCCATTTTATCCAGATTTTCTCCCAAATTTTCTCCAGATTTTTCCCAATTTTTCCCCACTTTAATCCAGATTTTTCCCAAATTTTATCTCATTTTTTCCCCATTTTTTCCTGATTATTCTCCCCATTTTTTCCCATTTTTCCCCAAATTTCCCCCATATTTTCCTAATTTTTCCCCCATTTTTTCCTAATTTTTCTACCATTTTTTCCAATTTTTTTCCTCCATTTTTTCCAAATTTTTTCCCATTTTTTTCCAAATTTTTTCCCAATTTTTCCCCCATTTTTTCCTGATTTTTTCCTAATTTTTTTCCCAATTTTTCCCCATTTTAATCCAGATTTTTCCCAAATTTTATCTCTTTTTTTTCCCCTTTTTTTCCTGATTTTTTTCCCCATTTTTTTCCCATTTTCCCCCAAATGGAAAAAAACCCCAGGAAAAATGGGGAGAAAATAAAGAAAAATAGAAAAGAAAATGGGGAAAAAATGGGGAAAAAAATCAGGAAAAAATGGGGAAAAAATGGGAAAAAATGGGAAAAATTTTGGGGAAAAAAAGGGAAAATTTTGGGTGAAAATGAGGAAAAAATGGGAAAAATTTTGGGAAAAATTTTGGGAAAAAATGGGGAAAAAAGGGGAAAATTTTGGGTGAAAATGGGGGAAAAAATGGTAAAAAATGGGAGAAAAATGGGGAAAATGGGAAAAAAAATCAGAAAAAAATGGAAAAAATAATTGGAAAAAATGGGAAAAAATCCAGGAAAAAATTGGAAAAATTTGGGAACAAATGGAAAAAAAATTGGAAAAAAAACTCAGGAAAAATGAGGAGAAAATAAAGAAAAATAGAAAAGAAAATGGGGAGAAAATGGGGAAAAAATGGGGAAAAAAATCAGGAAAAAATGGGAAAAAAATGGGGAAAAATGGGAAAAATTTGGGGAAAAAATGGGGAAAAAATGAGAAAATTTAGGAAAAAATGGGAAAAATAGGAAATAAAGGGGAAAAATTGGGGAAAAAAATGGGGGAAAAAGATCTTGAAAGCAGCAATTTTTTTTCTAGAAAATTTTGACAGGGAAAAAAATGGGGAAAATGGGGAAAAAATGAGGAAAAAATGGAAAAAGAAAAGGGAAAAAATTTAAGAAAAAAATGGGGAAAAATTAGAGATAATGGGAAAAAATCCAGGAAAAAACTGGAAAAAATGGGGGGAAAATTTGATTAAAAATGGGGGAAAATGGGGAAAGAATAGAAAACAAAATAGGGAGAAAATGGGAAAAAAATCCAGGAAAAAATGGGGAAAAAAATGGGAAAAATTTTGGGAAGAAATAGGGGGAAATGAGGAAAAAAATGGAAAAAATTGTGGGAAAACGGGACGAAAACGGGGAGAAAATGATAAAAAACGAGGCAAAATTGGGAAAAAATGATAAAAAATGAGGTAAAATTGGGAAAAAATGATAAAAAATGAGGTAAATTTGGGAAAAAAAGGGGGGAAAAACGTCTTGAAAATGGAAATTTTTGGCGGGAAAAGTGATTTTTTTTTTTTTACCGTCCAAATCGTTCTGAGGCGTTTCGGCTCCGATCCATTCCGAGGGAGGCCCCGTTCCGTTCACAGTCATGGCAGCAACCTGGAAACTGTAATGGCTTCCCTTTTCCAAACCTATCCAGGAAAAAAAAAACCGGGAATTCGGGATTAGGAATGAAAAATTCGGGATTGGGAAGGTTTTAAAAGGGGAATTTGGGGGTTTTGGTTGGAATTTTAAGGGGGTTTTGGGGCTTTTTTGTTGGTGGGAATTTTTAAGGTGGATTTTTGCTTTGAAGTCAGCAAAGTTTTGTTTGGGATTCTGGGGAATTCCACCTCAAATTCCAGGATTTTTCCCCTAAAATTCCAGGAATTTTCACCTCAAGTTCTGGGAGTTTTCATCTAAAAGTCTGGGGATTTTCACCTCAAAGTCTGGGATTTTTCACCTCAAATTATGGGAATTAATTCCTCAAATTCTGGGATTTTTACTTCAAATTCCAGTATTTTTCCCCTAAAATTCCAGGAATTTTCACCACAAATTCTGCGATTTTTACCTCAAATTCTGGAAATTTTCCCCTCAAGTTCTGACAATTTTTACCTTAAGTTCTGTGAATTTTTACTTCAAATTCTGGAAATTTTCACCTCAAAGTCTGGGATTTTTCACCTCAAATTCTGGGAATTTATTCCATAAATTCTTGGAATTTTTACTTCAAATTCCATTAATTTCTCCCTCACATTCCTGGAATAATCCCCTCAAAATCTGGGATATTCCACCTCAATTCTGGGATTTTTCACCTCAAATTCTAAGAATTTTACCACAAAATTTGGGAATTTTTACCTCAGATTCTGGGAATTTTCCCATCTAATTCCAAGCAATTTGCCATCAAATTCTGGGAAATTTCCCATCAAATTCTGGGAAATTTCCTCTGAAATTCCAGGAATTTTCCCCTCAAATTCTGGGAATTTTAACCTCAAAGTCTGGGAATTTTCACCTCAAATTTTGTAAATTTTCACCTCAAATTCTGGGATTTTTCACCTCAAATTCTGGGAATTTTCACCTGAAATTCCAGGAATTTTCCCCTCAAATTTTGGGAATTTTCCCCTCAAATCCCAGGAATTTTCACCTCAAATTCTGGGAATTTTCACCTCAAAGTTTGTAAATTTTCACCTCAAATTTTGGGAATTTCCACCTGAAATTCCAGGAATTTGCCCCTCAAATTCTGGGAAATTTTCCCCTCAAAGTTTGTGAATTTTCACCTCAAAATCTGGGAATTTTTACCTCAAATTTTGGCAATTTCCACCTGAAATTCTGGGAAATTTCCCCTCAAATTCTGGGAAATTTTTCCCCTCAAATTCTGGGAATTTTCACCTCGGATTCTGGGAATTTTCACCTCAAATTTTGGGAATTTTCACCTCAAAGTTTGTGAATTTTCACCTCAAAATCTGGGATTTTTCACCTCAAATTCTGGCAATTTGCCATCAAATTCTGGGAAATTTCCTCTGAAATTCCAGGAATTTTCCCCTCAAATTCTGGGAATTTTAACCTCAAAGTCTGGGAATTTTCACCTCAAATTTTGTAAATTTTTACCTCAAGTTCTGGGAATTTTCACCTCAAATTTTGGGAATTTCCACCTGAAATTCCAGGAATTTTCCCCTCAAATTCTGGGAATTTTCCTCTCAAATCCCAGGAATTTTCACCTCAAATTCTGTGAATTTTCACCTCAAAGTCTGGGAATTTTCACCTCAAATTCTGGAAATTTTTTAATAGAATTCCAAGCAATTTCCCCTCAAATTCTGGGAATTTTCACCTCAAATTCTGGGAATTTTTACCTCAAGTTCTGGGAATTTTCACCTCAAAATCTGGGATTTTTCACCTCAAATTCTGGCAATTTCCACCTGAAATTCCAGGAATTTTCACCTCAAAGTTTGTAAATTTTCACCTCAAAATCTGGGATTTTTTACCTCAAATTTTGGGAATTTCCACCTGAAATTCCAGGAATTTCCACCTGAAATTCTAGGAAATTTCCCCTCAAATTCTGGGAAATTTTTCCCCTCAAATTCTGGGAATTTTCCCCTCAGATTCTGGGAATTTTCACCTCAAATTTTGGGAATTTTCACCTCAAAGTTTGTGAATTTTCACCTCAAAATCTGGGATTTTTCACCTCAAAGTTTGGGAATTTCCACCTGAAATTCCAGGAATTTCCACCTGAAATTCTAGGAAATTTCCCCTCAAATTCTGGGAAATTTTTCCCCTCAAATTCTGGGAATTTTACCTCAAAGCCTGGGAATTTTCACCTCAAATTTTGGGAATTTTCACCTCAAAGTTTGTGAATTTTCACCTCAAAATCTGGGATTTTTCACCTCAAAGTATGGGATTTTTCACCTCAAATTTTGGGAATTTCCACCTGAAATTCTGTGAATTTTCACCTCAAAGTTTGTAAATTTTCACCTCAAAATCTGGGATTTTTCACCTCAAATTCTGTGAGTTTTCACCTGAAATTCTAGGAATTTTCCCCTCAAATCCCAGGAATTTTTTACCCCAAATTCTGGGAATTTTCACCTCAAAGTTTGTAAATTTTCACCTCAAAATCTGGGATTTTTTACCTCAAATTCTGGGAATTTTCACCTCAAATTCTGGGAATTTTAACCTCAAAGTCTGGGAATTTTCCCCTCAAAATCTGGGATTTTTCACCTCAAATTCTGTGAATTTTCACCTCAAATTCCAGGAATTTTCCCCTCAAATTCTGGGAAATTTTCCCCCCAAATCCCAGGAATTTTCCCCTCAAATTCTGGGAATTTTCACCTCAAATTCTGTGAATTTTCACCTCAAAATCTGGGATTTTTCACCTCAAATTCTGTGAATTTTCACCTCAAATTCTGGGAATTTTCACCTCAAAGTTTGTGAATTTTTACCTCAAATTTTGGGAATTTCCACCTGAAATTCTAGGAAATTTCCCCTCAAATTCTGGGAAATTTTTCCCCTCAAATTCTGGGAATTTTACCTCAAAGCCTGGGAATTTTCACCTCAAATTTTGTGAATTTTCACCTCAAAGTTTGTGAATTTTCACCTCAAAATCTGGGATTTTTCACCTCAAATTCTGGGAATTTTCACCTCAAAGTTTGTGAATTTTCACCTCAAAATCTGGGATTTTTCACCTCAAATTTTGAGGTGAAAATTCACAAACT